GGCCGGCCCGGGCCCTGACTGGTGGGGAGCGCGAGTCGCGCGGACGTCGGAGTGCTGAGAAGGAGCCCGGTCGGCAGATGTTGGGGATGTTTTTCTGGTGGAGGAAGGGGAATCAGCCCCTTCAAGTCTTAGGTGCTGTTACTGATCGCCCACTCTGTGTGAGGCTCTGTGCCAACTCCGTTTCGTTCCCAGCTCACCTAACTCCCGTGGCAGCCTTGCTAGATAGCGAGAGTATTATTATCCCCATTTTCCAGACAGGGACCTTGAGGCCCAGAGAGACGAAGTAGCTTGTCTAGGGTCACGCAGATTGTAAGTGGCAGAGCTGGCTGACTCTGCGGGACATCCTTGCCTGGGGGTCTCATCAGTTGGCTTCTTGCGCTCACTTGGGTTTCCCGCCTTTTCCGGGAGCAGCTTCAGTGGGGTCGCCGTACCAGGGGCCCTGGCAGGGTCACCTGCAAGAACATCAAACCAGAGTGCCCAACCTTGGCCTGTGGGCAGCCGCGCCAGCTGCCGGGACACTGCTGCCAGACCTGCCCCCAGGGTAAGGCTTGCTCCGCCCTGCGGGGAGGGAGGCAGGGCCAAGGTACTGGGTCCTGGGCCACTTGGATGGGGCTTCGGACTGGCCCTTCCCACGGCCAGCTGAAGCCCGTGTTCTTACCCCGCCCCCTGCAGAGCGTAGCAGTTCGGAGCGGCAGCCGAGCGGCCTGTCCTTCGAGTATCCGCGGGACCCGGAGCATCGCAGTTATAGTGACCGCGGGGAGCCAGGCGCTGAGGAGCGGGCCCGTGGTGACGGCCACACGGGTAGGGGGCTGGCGAACGGCGGGGTTGTGGTTGAGGCTGGGCCACCAAAGCAGCGTTTGACAGTGCTCAGGCCATCTTCCTCCCGTCCCAGACTTCGTGGCGCTGCTGACAGGGCCAAGGTCGCAGGCGGTGGCACGAGCCCGAGTCTCGCTGCTGCGCTCTAGCCTCCGCTTCTCCATCTCCTACAGGCGGTGAGAAAGGGGAAGGAGCAAGGAGGGGTCAGCTGCTGGCCAGGAGGGAAACTGGGAGAGCTGGGAGGGGCTGCTTTTGGCCCAGTATGGCCTCACCCGACCTCTCATTCCCAGGCTGGACCGCCCTACCAGGGTCCGCTTCTCAGACTCCAATGGCAGTGTCCTGTTTGAACACGCTGCAGCCCCCACCCAAGATGGCCTGGTGAGATGATGTCATTTATGAGCACTTGTCCGGTCTGGGCACTGTGCTGAGAGCATGCTCTGCATTGCCTCCAGTGGTCCTCACCACAGCCCAGTGGGAGGAAGGCACTGACATGATGATGACCATTTTACAGAAGGGGGAACTGAGACTCAGTAGGAGAATGTGATTTGTTCAAGGTCACACAGCTAGTAAGTGGTGCAGCCAGGACTGGAACCCAAGCATCTGGCTCCAGGGTTCTTTCTTAAGCTTCCTAGGGCACCCTGGAGGTTCCTTTCCATGTTCCTTTTTCATCAGGCCTGCCTGGACCTCCTAATTGGCCTAACCTGCACCGTGTCTGAGCGTAGGGCCTTCTTGTCTCTCTGCTCCAGGTCTGTGGGGTGTGGCGGGCAGTGCCTCGGTTGTCTCTGCGGCTCCTTAGGGCAGAACAGCTGCATGTGGCACTTGTGACACTCACTCACCCTTCAGGAGAGGTCTGGGGGCCTCTCATCCGGCACCGGGCCCTGGCTGCAGGTAGGGAGCAAAGAGCCCTGGGCATGAAGTTCTGAGTTTTCTCTATCCCCCAGGAAAGGGGAGGGGGCGTTCTGACGGGCTCTCATCATCCTCCCTTCCCCAGAGACTTTCAGTGCCATCCTGACTCTAGAAGGCTCCCCAGAGCAGGGCATAGGGGGCATCACCCTGCTCACTCTCAGTGACACAGAGGACTCCTTGCATTTTTTGCTGCTCTTCCGAGGGCTGCTGGAACCCAGGAGTGGGGGTAAGTGGGATGGGGGCAAAACACGTGAGAAGGTTAGGGAGAGCACCTGTCTCAGAAAGGCCCACATGTGCGGCCTTGCAGGACTAACCCAGGTTCCCTTGAGGCTCCAGATTCTACACCAGGGGCAGCTACTGCGAGAACTTCAGGCCAATGTCTCAGCCCAGGTGAGCGGGGATCTGGCTCTTGCTGCCACCTGTCTTGGCCTCTTGCTGTTGCCCATCACACCCTGCTCTGTCCCCAGGAACCAGGCTTTGCTGAGGTGCTGCCCAACCTGACAGTCCAGGAGATGGACTGGCTGGTGCTGGGGGAGCTACAGATGGCCCTGGAGAGGGCAGGCAGGCCAGGGCTGCGCATCAGTGGACACATTGCTACCAGGAAGAGCTGCGACGGTGAGGCAGGGCTGGGAGGGCCTGGTGCCCTGGGTGTGCACAACTGAGAGGCACAGACACGTGCCAGGGAAGGGGCCAGGGTGGGTATGGGAGAGATCCTGAGGACTGGGGGTGTAAGTGGCCATGGGTAAGCCTAGCCTCACCTGTCTTGCCCCTCCATAGTCCTGCAAAGTGTCCTTTGTGGGGCTGATGTCCTGATCCCAGTCCAGACGGGTGCTGCTGGCTCGGCCAGCCTCACGCTGCTAGGAAATGGCTCCCTGATCTATCAGGTAAGAGCCAGGGGCTGCAGAAGGTAGGGGAGAGGTGGGGTGGGCAGCAGGCCCAGGCCTTTACTGCCCCTCCACTTTGCCCTCCTTCATCCCTGCCCATCAGGTGCAAGTGGTAGGGACAAGCAGTGAGGTGGTGGCCATGACACTGGAGACCAAGCCTCAGCGGAGGAATCAGCGCACTGTCCTGTGCCACATGGCTGGACTCCAGCCAGGAGGACACATGGTGAGGGCTCCAGGTTGCTTTACCCCAGGGCCCAGTGCATGGGCTGTGGGAAGCCAGGTTGGATGAGCAGGGATGTTCATTATCATCCACTCATGGATTCTCCCACTCATTCTTTTATTCATTTGACCTTTTTTTTTTTTTTTGAGATGGAGTCTTGCTCTGTCGCCTGGGTTGGAGTGCAGTGGCATGATCTCGGCTCACTGCAACCTCTGCCTCCCGGGTTCAAGTGATTCTCTTGCCTCAGCCTCCCGAGTAGCTGGGACCACAGGCATGCGCCACCATGCCCAGCTAGTTTCTGTATTTTTGGTAGAGATGGAGTTTCACCATGTTGGCCAGGATGGTCTCGATCTCTTGACCTTGTGATCTACCCGCCTCGGCCTCCCAAAGTGCTGGGATTACAGGCGTGTAGCCACTGCGCCCGGCCTGATTTGACATTTTTAGTGAGCCCCAGACTAGGGACTAGAGTGCAAAGCAAATCAGATGTAGCCCCTGTGCTCAGCAAGCTCACAGTCAAATGGAAGGCATTGGACCTGGAGAACAGTGTCATAGGCCGCATAGTAGTAATTGTAATGGCAATGGTTGCTACTTATAGGGCCTTTCTATGTGCTAGGTGCTGAATTGGTGGCCTTACATATTTTTTAACTTTCACAGTACGCATTTTATAGATGAGGAAGTGAAGACTTGGAGAAATTAAGTAACTCTTCAAGGTTGTTACATAGCTAGGAAGTAGCAGGGGAGGGCCATGAAACTGGGCCTGCCAGGTCCTTATCCTGTGTTTCTGGTGTGTGGAAGTGTGTGTGGGTGGAGTGGGGGCACAAAATGACCCAAGGTGTCAGAACCTTGGGCTCGTGTGAGAGCTGAGGAAGGCCTGTCCTCCCCTGCCCCCCCCAGGCCGTGGGTATCTGCCCTGGGCTGGGTGCCCGAGGGGCTCATATGCTGCTGCAGAACGAGCTCTTTTTGAACGTGGGCACCAAGGACTTCCCAGATGGAGAGCTTCGGGGGCACGTGGCTGCCTTGCCCTA